CAAAGTTGAAAGTTTTTTCATATGTTTATTGACCATTCTTCTTCCTTTGGAAATTGTTCTTGTCTTTAGCCCATTTTGTAGATGAATGATTTCTTATTAGCTTGTAAGACTCTTTGCACATGGAGGATGCACGTATTTCACTTATTCAATTGAAATATTGTTTTTACAGACATTTTTAGATGACAAAAAATAGAAAGCTGTATTTTTCAAAGCAGAGGTTCATTTCTTTTTAACTGGCAAGGACATTAGCAAAATTCATTTGTAATGTCCTTTTATTATCTTGTTAAGATCTGTAGAATCTACAGCATAGCTTTTTCATTGCCGATTCTCATAATTTGTTTTTTTTCTTATATTTTAAAACCCATTTTGCTAAGGACATTAGTTTTATTAATTTTTACACAAAACCCACCCTTGTCTTTATGTATTTTCTCTATTTTAAAATTAATTTTATTTCAAGTATATCTGTCTTCTATTCATATTATATCACATTTTATGCATTTATTTTGCTCTACTATTTCTAGCTTGTGGAGATGAAAGCTTAGTTCATTTCCTTTAATCTTTTTTATTTTCTAGTACTTGCATTTAAAGCTATATATATATATATATATTTATTATACTTTAAGTTCTAGGGTACATGTGCATAACGTGCAGGTTTGTTACATATGTATACTTGTGCCATGTTGGTGTGCTGCACCCATCAACTCGTCAGCACCCATCAACTCGTCATTTACACCAGGTAGAACTCCCAATGCAATCCCTCCCCCCTCCCACCTCCCCATAATAGGCCCCCGTGTGTGATGTTTCCCTTCCTGAGTCCAAGTGATCTCATTGTTCAGTTCCCACCTATGAGTGAGAACATGCGGTGTTTGGTTTTCTGTTCTTGTGATAGTTTGCTGAGAATGATGGTTTCCAGCTGCATCCATGTCCCTACAAAGGACACAAACTCATCCTTTTTTATGGCTGCATAGTATTCCATGGTGTATATGTGCCACATTTTCTTAATCCAATCTGTCACTGTTAGACATTTGGGTTGATTCCAAGTCTTTGCTATTGTGAATAGTGCTGCAATAAACATACGTGTGCATGTTTCTTTATAGCAGCATCTGAGCAATTCTTTAGCTGCATCTAGTATTTTGTTTGTTTTTACTGCCTTTCAGTTAAAATTCATGAAAAATTTTCATTGGCACTTCTTTAATATATGAATAATTTAGAATTGTGTTGCTTGATTTCTAAATAATTGGGGGATGTTTAGTTATATTTTCGTTATAAATTTTTAGTTGAAGCCTACTATTTTCAGATATGTGTTCTGTATGGTTTAGTCCTTTGAAATGTATTGAATCTTGTACTGTGGCCCAGCGTATTTTCTATTGTGTGTATGTTCCATGAGCACTTAATAGAATAATCCTACATCTGTTTTCTCTTTCCCCACTCCCTTACTAATCCACCTTCAGCTAACCTGACTGAAACTGTGTGATAAACTCAAGACTTTTTAGGGAAGGACATTGCTTTATCTGCATTCAAATCAAGTTTTCTTGATTTGTTCTGAAGGTAACGTTTATCATCTTCTGGGAGTGAGTTCAGATGCCATCTGCCCACACCACAGCTTAACCTTACACAGCGGAGTTTAACCTTGAGTCTAGTTATGGTCTAGAGCAAAGAGGGATGATGAAGGTGGGTCTTGAGGGAAATCACCATTGTTTTGCTGGGAAACTGCTTCAGGAGGACATACAATTTCCTTAGGCAATGTGAGGTTAAACCTCAGTGGGGTGAAGAGGTTTCTTCCACTAAGGGTGAAGGGAAGGTTCTATAGAGGTGGGGAGGCCTCTTCAGCTGGCAAAGCAGGTTCATCTTTTCTCTGTTCCATCTCAGTATCCTCCTTCTGAAGCCGAAACGGAGTTTCATCCATGACTCTTTTCTCTCTAATCTTCATCCTGTATCAAGTGCTTTCCCTTAAAATTCGTTAATGTATCTTAAACTGTCTCTATTGCTCTGTGTTAGTTGGGTTCTTAGATGCAGATCTGAGATGAGAATTTTCATAAAAGTGACCTATAAGGAAAAGGGGTTAAAGGAAGCTAGTTATGGTAGAGGGAAGAAAGGACATGATCTCAACTGGAGTCTGGCTTCAGATGTGGTCTCAGCTGAAGTCTGCCTTGAGTCTGGAGCCATTGAAGCTCTGGAGGATCCATTGTATTATACAATAACATTTTAAACTTGCATGTCTGTTAGTCATTGGCCACTGCTGGGCCCTGATGGTGGGCATAATCTTCTGGGTGTGGCACCTCCCTTTTTCTGTGGTGCAATTGTCCAGGGAAGGGTGGTACTGTGAGCTGTTAGCAGCCCAGACATAGCAGGTGGGGCAGGAGTTCACTTACCAGGCAAAGGGCATTTGAGTTGGATGCAACAGTGTCCCTAACACTCGGTATCTCTTGGGAGTCACCAAAGTTCAGACCCCCATTTATCCACACCTAAATCATTATAATTACCTCCTAATTGCTCTTCTCTTGGAGGCTTGACCTTCAATCCATTTCCCATACTGCAGCTAGAGTTATCATTCCCAAAACAAATCCAAATACGTTTCTTGCTAGTTTAAAAGTACTTTCACTATGTTCTCCTGGTACTTAGTATTTAGTTTTAACACAATTATGAGACCCTTTTTGATCTTACAAAACATCCTACTTTCCAGCTTTATGTCTTGTATTTTCCCTTTTACAATCTCAGTGTCCTACTCTGGCACACAGTGGGGTTCAATAAATAATTGTTGAATGAATAGATAAATTGATAATTACAGTCATATTGAATTGTTTGGGTTTCCTGCTTACTCTTTCTCATCTTCTGGCCTTGTTACTTATTCTCTCTCATAGACACACTCTTAGCTCAACCTTATGCCCACTCATTCTGCTGATTCCTTTTCTCCCTTTGGCTTCCTTTTTTTTTTCTTTTTTGAGACAGAGTCTTGCTCTGTCAGCCAGGCTGGAGTGCAGTGGCGAGATCTTGGTTCACTGTGACGTCTGCCTCCTAGGTTCAAGTGATTCTCCTGTCTCAGCCCCCCAAGTAGTTGGGACTACAGACATCCACCACCCACCCAGCTAATTTTTGTATTTTAGTAGAGACAGGGGTTTTGCCATGTTGGCCAGGCTGGTCTCGAAATCCTGACTCAGGTAATCTGCCCTCGTTGGCCCCCCAAAGTGCTGGGATTACAGGCGTGAGCCACTGTGCCTGGTCAGCTTCTGTTTTTGATGTCTTTTCATCTAGGAATTCTTTTAGATCTCCTAGGTCTTTGTTGTGTGTCCTTCTAACATGCTTTCACAGCCCTCTAATTCCATGCTCTTACTATTGATAGTCTTATGTTGTAATTCTCTGTTCTCTTCTTGAAGTCTCTCAGAGGATCCTAACTTTTGTGAAAAGAGGACCCTGGTTTCTCTTTATTCACCACTAAGCCCCAGGAACTATCGATGTGCCTGATACGTTCCTGGGGATAAAAAACTATTTGTTGATTAAGGAATAAAGAATGCAAGGAATAAGTGGAATACAGTTATCCTGAAACTGCTTTGTGTGTAGCAATATGATTTGAAAAACAGCTTTTAGACTGGGTGTGGTGGCTCACACCTGTAATCCCAGCACTTTGGGAGGCTGAGGTGGGCAGATCACTAGGTCAGCAGATCAAGACCATCCTGGCCAACATGGTGAAACCCCATCTCTACTAGCCAGGCATGGTGGCAGGTTCCTGTAGTCCCAGCTACTCGGGAGGCTGAGACAGGAGAATTGCTTGAACCCAGGAGGTGGAGGTTGTAGTGAGCCAAGATCGTGCCACTGTACTCTAGCCGGGCAACAGAGAGAGACTGCATGTCAAAATCAAAAAGCAAAAAACAACAAACAAAACAGCTTTTAATATGAAAATGTTACTAAAAAGCAAACTGATTAAAGAAAATATAAAGAGCCCATATACATAAGATAATAAATCTTACTGGGGGTAGGAAAAATATCAAGATAAACTATACGTTCATATGCTGAGAATGCAGTTTCAATTTCTTTCTCATTGTTTCAATAAGAATGAAAAAATGTAGTTTCCCTGTGAGGTCCAACCAGAATTCTTAGTTTGAAGGTAGAAAAAACTGTCCTAGCCTCCACTACTACTTTTGCTTTATATTTTATTGAATTTATTCATTTCATTAATCCTTTATTCATTGATTCTATGTTTATGGTATACCAGACATGGTACCTTGTAGGAACTATTGTTATCTATCAGCAAGTATTTTATGGAGTATAACTGTATATTTAATAAATAGAAATTTCTCCTTGATATCAAAACATCTTCTTTATTTGAACCATCACTCTTTCTGGTCGATTATCAGTATAAAAAGAGTACTGTGAGCGATACAAAATGGTTCTGAAGCCTACAAGGACATTTGGAATCATGGTATAAACTTCATTGTTTACCCATCAGATGCTAAATAGTTCTTTGCTTTTATAGCCCTGAAGTAGTTAGATAGCATAATGTTTCAGAAAACAAAGGCCATCAATTTTGATATATAAAAATGAAACAATTATTAATGAAAAAGTTATATTTTTAGTTAATGAACTAACATATACAATGTGTCCGGCATAGTCCCTATCTCAATAAATGATAGCTGTTATGATGATCTGATCTTTCTGTCATCATTGCCTGGCAGGGTATCATGGTAGTTAAGCACATGGTTTGGGAAATCAGTGAGATTCTGGTTACTGTCTATTTGATATTTCTATTTTGACACTGTCAACTTCTCTAAGTTTCCTCTTTGGTAAATGGGGATAAGAGTAATGCCTCTCTGTTTTTACGGACATTATTACTTAATATAGATATATTTATTTTATTACTTATTTTACATTTATTAGAAGGAAGGCCTATGAGTTTCATACATATGGATGAAGCCTGTGAAACTAAGCCCCAAATTGGTAGAATTTTCCCAGTTTGTGAGAATAATACATGGTTAGGTTTTCTCCTTTTCTTGAACCCATTTTGACTCCCCTCAAGGCATAATGTATTGATCATAGTGGTTAATATTTTATTTATCCAATAAGAATTCCTTGCTGACATTACCCAAAATGTCCTTTCGACCCTTGCCTCAGTTGAATCATGTTGGGCTCCAGTCACACTTATTTGACACTTGAAATAACTTTCCTACTACACAATTTCCTAATGGCATTTTTCATCTGAGCATTCCTCAAGGTGTAGATTAAGGGGTTTAACATAGGAGTTATCATAGTGTAAAATACAGCAACTGCTTTATCAATGGGTAAAGTAGCTGGAGGTCTCATGTACACAAATATGCAGGGCACAAAGAATAAGATGACAACTGTGATGTGGGAGACACAGGTAGAGAGGGCTTTCTGCCTTGCCTCTAAGCTGTGGGTCCTTAAGGAGTACAGTATGACCACATAGGAGACTAGGAGCAAGAGAAAGTTTAACAGGCATATGAACCCACTGTTGGCAGCTACGAAGAGTCCTAGAGTGTGGGTATTAGTGCAGGCAAGATTGAGCAGAGGGTTTAGATCACACATAAAGTGATCTATGACATTAGGACCACAGAAAGGTAATTGGAAGATGAAGAGGATCTGTATGGTTGCATGAAGAAAGCCTCCTACCCATGACACACCCACTAGTAGGCTACACACACACTGCTTCATGATGGTGGTATAGTGCAAGGGCTTGCAGATGGCCACATAGCGATCATAGGCCATTACAGTAAGTAGGATGACCTCAACACCTCCGAAAAAATGTTCTCCAAAGACTTGAATCATACATCCATTGAATAAGATAGTTTTCTTTTCATAGAGTGAATCTGTGATCAGCTTAGGGGCATTGACAGAGGAATAGCAGACATCGATAAAGGAGAGATAGGCCAGGAAAAAGTACATGGGGGACCTCAATGATGGGCTGGCAATTATGGTGACCACAGTGAGCACATTTCCTGTCACGGTGGTGATGTAGATGACAGAAAACACAACAAATATGATTTTCTGCATTTTTGGGTTCTCTGTAAGCCCCAGTAGAATAAACTCTGTCACATTGTTTCTATTCGCCATGTATTTCAAATGATGGTTAATTACATTACCTGAAAAGAAAACAATTTTTATTAATACATCTTTAAATTTGTTAAACTTCTCCATTGTAATATGTAATATAATAAATTCTTGGGTTCTACTGGGTTGTGATTTGAGGATTTTTTCTGAGATAGGAAAAAAGTTTTGAGTTTTGGAAGTTTCCTCAAATTGCCTCCCTGGTGAGGACTGTGCTAAGAGTTTTGACATAAGAAACTTTCGTGGCACACAGGCAGGAGACCATCTGTGAATATTTAATCATCTGAAATGACTGAAAGTTGAATGATTGCACACATAGTGGCAACTAAGCCTGAAAAGATTATAGAATATATATGTAAAGCATATGAATGCAAAGCTCAAAATTTGCTTTTTTTTTTTTTTTTTTTTTTTAGAAAATAATGAAATGTGAAATGTTACGCACAATATGAGTGAAATGATACAGAGGAATCTGAAGAAGGGGAATTCTTGGGATACATCTCTAGTGAAGGTCTTTGTGGGTTTTTTATGATGTGGGCTGAGATCCAGTAAGGAGCTGGAAGCCAGATAATGGAACTTAGTTAGCAGACTATTTAGAGTAGTTGACATAAGAATAACAGTGCATTTGTGATGAAAATGTAAAGAAAGAATATAAGAGCTGCTATAAAAGAATTCACAATCTATTATCTAAGTCCTATTAACTTTATTATAGCTAGTAATATACACCTTTGAATAATTGCTATGAGCATGACATTGTAGAATGTGCTTTGCACACATGATCTCATTGTATCAATTTTACAGATGAGGACACAGTCTCAGTGACTAATAGTAGTTATAGTGTTAATATTAACTAATATTTACTGAACATAGCATGTTTCAAGTGCTTTTACAGACATTTGCTTATTTAATCCTCACCGAAAACCTATGTATTAGTTACTATTGTCTTTTTATACTTATTTACTCATTAGGAAACAGAAGCACAGAGAAATTAAGGTTCCTCCCAAGATTGAGCAGATAATCAAGGCTGCACCCAATATTAAGTTTCAGATTATGCTTGTTAATTTTTTCCCTCCAAAGTCTTAACTCATGAGTTAAGTCTTAACTCATGCTTTATATTTTTACAATAAACAATGTTGAACTGGTAATTTCCCTTTGATATGGCCATAATTTTTATAATTAATACTACTTCAGAGACAAGTTTATATGAAGCAACTTCATCAGCAGACAGACATACAGACACAATGATATATTGAAACTCCTAAATATTAAGAAAAATGTGGTATTACATTCATTGAAGGGCTGTTTTTGCTTAGTCTCTATGTCAGCACTATCCATTCCTTCTCAACCCCCTTCCAAAGCATGGGACCCTGGCCAGAATCTTCTGCAAAGTGTTAAAAACCTTTATCACAATTGTTAATGGTGTTAGTTTGAGAATCAGAAAGACCAGATTAGAATCCTTGTTTTTCAAACTATAACTTCTTTTAACTGGGGTATATTTCTTGGCACCTTACATCTTAATCTTATCATCCATAAAATAATAATAATATTCACCTCACATACTGTTACGAGAATTAATTGGGAGAACATATATGAATATACTACTGTTAGGGACATACACAGGACTTTCATTTACTTTTATGGCTGTATAAGCCTAGGAGGCACGATAAATTGACAGTGTGATCAATATAATACAGAGAAACATTTGACCATGCATTAAGCTCACGAAGAAAGATCTCCAATTTTCCTTTTCAAGAAGCTACAGGGATTTATATTATTCATAGCAAGTGATCCCAGGAAAGTTTCTCCATGTTGGTGCTTGGACTAATCAGCTGATGATTTGCCATTTAATATTTATATTTACATCTTTTGTGTGTGTGAAGTGTGTTTAAATTTTTAGTCCTCACAACTTGTCTCACTCACTAAGGAGGTGTCTCATGGCAAAAGTATGGTACCTGATATCAGAGATGGGTTCTATACATTGCTTAATCTCTGTAAGCCTCAAATATTTCAACTGTCAAATTAGGTTAATGATATTTACCAACTACCTTTTGAAGAATTGGAGTGAGAATGCAAGACTCTATTACTCTATTTGAAAAGTGTTGAAAAATACTGATTACTATACATAGAAAGTAACAATCTTTGGTAAGCTTCAGCGCTATTGAAAAACTTACCTTAGTAGTCCTTGATGATCTTAATGATGTTTAGGGGTGCTCAGACACAATCTTATTTGAAATTATCTTTTCTTGGAATAAGTTTCAATGTGAAAGGTATTTCACCCTTCAAAAGAGCTTATTCAGATGATTCAACATCAAATCAACAGTTGTTAAGAAAGTCTGTTTGTAAGTCTAAATATTTTCTTCTAGCCTAAAGCCTCTGAACATTTTCACAAAAAACTGCTCTTCTTGACATGGCTCTGGTCCCCTCAGGGCAAGATGAAGAAAGTGTGGAGGAAATACATTTAAATGAGTCACTCAGCTCATGATGAATCTTGCTCTGGAGATGTGAACAACAACAACAACAAAAACAAAAAAACCATTTTTACCTTGTACTGCATGTGTATTTAAAGAGGTTTCTACAAAGATTCAGAGACCTTGTCTCGTAGCTGTTGCTTTCTCTCCCAGGAATTAATTATCTCCTTTGATGGAAAGACTTTGTCTTAGAAGCAGATATCCTGGAGAGAAATGTTTGAAAAATGCCCATCCTGAATGGGGAATTGAATTCTCTATATTTAAAACTTAAGCCTGTGAGAGTCCCTTTTTCATATCTGAACCCAGGTTTCTAAGAAAGCTGAATGCCACCTAAATGGCAAGGTGGCATAATTCCAGAGTGGGCACCTCATGTAGTTTCCCTGTTGACTCATGCTACAGAAAGAGTTGCTGTTTTTTCATTTAATATAAAACCTTTTTTGGAAAAATGTTATTGATTGCTTGAGATCTAGAGCACTGAGGGCATGAAATTAATGGCAGCCACTTTAAAGGACTTGATTCCAAATGCTCTTTTTCTTTCCCTCCTCCTACTTTATTGAGGTATATTTGACAAAAAATTTTTATATTCAAGGTGTACTACTTGATGATTTATATATGTATACATTGGGTAATGATCACCATAATCAACATAATTAACATGCTCATCACCTTATATAGTTAATCATTTTTATTGGTATGGTGAGAAACTTAAGCTCTACCTTCTTTAATCTACTGTACTATATAAAAAACTGTAGTAATAACTATAGTCACCTTGCTGTACCTTAGCTCTACAACTTATTTTACATAAATGCAACTTTATACACCTTGACCAACATTCCCATTTCTCCCTGCTCTAGCCCCTCACAACCCCCATACTATTCACTGTTTCTATGAGTTTTATTATTTTAGCTTTTACACATAAGTGATGACATGCAATATTTGAATTTTTGTGCCTGGGTTATTTTGTTTAGCATAATGTCCTGCAGATTTATCCATGTTTCTGCAAATGGAAGAATTTCTTTTCTTTTTAAAATTATTATACTTTAAGTTCTAGGGTACATGTGCACAACGTGCAGGTTTGTTACATGTGTTACATGTGCCATGTTGGTGTGCCTTATCCATTAACTCATCATTTGCATTGGGTATATCTCCTAATGCTATCCTTCCCCCCTTCCCCACCCCACAACAGGCCTCGGTGTGTGGTGTTCACCACCCTGTGTCCAAGTGTTCTCATTGTTCAATTCCCACCTATGAGTGAGAACATGCAGTGTTTGGTTTTCTGTCCTTTTGATAGTTTGCTCAGAATGATGGTTTCCAGCTGCATTCATGTCCCTACAAAGGACATGAACTCATCCTTTTTAATGGCTGCATAGTATTCCATGGTGTATATGTGCCACATTTTCTTAATCCAGTCTGTCATTGATGGACATTTGGGTTGATTCCAAGTCTTTGCTATTGTGAATAGTGCCGTGATAAACAAACGTGTGCATGTGTCTTTACAGCAGCATGACTTATAATCCTTTGGGTATGTACCCATTAATGCGATGGCTGGGTCAAATGATATTTCTAGTTCTAGATTCTTGAGGAATCGCCACACTGTCTTTGATAATGGTTGGACTAGTTTACAGTCCCACCAACAGTGTAAAAGTGTTCCTATTTCTCCACATCCTCTCTAGCACCTGTTGTTTCCTGACTTTTTAATGATCGCCATTCTAACTGGTGTGAGATGGTATCTCATTGTGGTTTTGATTTGCATTTCTCTGATGGCGAGTTATGACGAGCATTTTTTCATGTGTCTGTTGGCTGCATAAATGTCTTCTTTTGAAAAGTGTTCATATCCTTTGCCCACTTTTTGATGGGGTTGTTTGATTTTTTCTTGTAAAGTTGTTTAAGTTCTTTGTAGATTCTGGATGTTAGCCCTTTGTCATATAGGTAGATTGCAAAAATTTGCTCCCATTCTGTAGGTTGCCTGTTCACTCTGATGGCAGTTTCTTTTGCTGTGCGGAAGCTCTTTAATTAGGTCCCATTTGTGGATTTTGGCTTTTGTTGCCATTGCTTTTGGTATTTTAGACATGAAGTCTTTGCCCACCCATATGTCCTGAACGTATTGCCTAGGTTTTCTTCTAGGGTTTTTATGGTTTTAGGTTTGACATTTATGTCTTTAATCCATCTTGAATTAATTTTTGTATAAGGTGTAAGGAAGGGTTCCAGTTTTAGCTTTCTACATATGGCTAGCCAGTTTTCCCAGCACCATTTATTAAATAGGAAATCCTTTCCCCATTTCTTGTTTTTGTGAGGTTTGTCAAAGATCAGATGGTTGTAGATGTGTGGTATTATTTCTGAGGGCTCTGTTCTGTTCCATTGGTCTATATCTCTGTTTTGGTACCAGTACCATGCTGTTTTGGTTACTGTAGCCTTGTAGTATAGTTTGAAGTCAGGTAGCGTGATGACTTCAGCTTTGTTCTTTTGACTTAGGATTGTCTTGGCAATGAGGGCTCTTTTTTGGTTCCATATGAACTTTAAAGTAGTTTTTTTCCAAGAATTTTTCTTTTAATGCTGAATAATATTTATACATATATATAAAATCACTTTTCTTATCCATTAAGTTTCCAACAGGCAATTAGGTTGTTACTATATCTTTGTATTGTGAATAATACTCCAATAAACATAGAATACAGGTATCTTTTCAAGATACTGATTTCATTTTCTTTGGATATACAACCAGAAGTGAGATTGCTGGATTAGAAGCTTTCTAATTTTGGGGGGAACCTCTATACTGTTTCCCCAATGGCTGTACCAATTTACATTCTTGCCAACTGTGCACAAGGGTTTTCTTTCCTTCACTTCTTCACTAACATTTATCTTTATTTCTGATATAGCTATCCTACATGTGTGAGGTGATATTTCATTATGATTTTGATTCGCACTACACTAATAATAAGTGATATTGAGTATCTTTTCATATACTGGTTGGACACTTATATATTTTCTTTTGAGAAATGTTTATTCTCATTCTTTGTCCATTTTTAATTGTTTTGCTATTGAGTTGTATGTGCTCATTTTGTATTTTGGATATTAACTCCTAATCATATACATGGTTTGCAAATATTTTCTCTCATTCCCTAGATTGCCTTTTCAGTTTGTTGATTGTTTCCTTTGCTGTGAAGAAGCTTTTCAGTTGATGCAATACTACTCATTTATTTTTGCTTTTGTGACCTGTACTTTTGGTATCATATTAAAATATCATTGCCCAGACCAAAATCAAGATTTTCTTTCTCCTGTTTTCTTCTACTAACCTTATAGTTTCAGGTATTGCGTTTAAGATCTCAATCCATTTTCATTTGCTTTTTGTATATGGTGTGACATAAGGGTCAAATTTCATTCTTCTGTTTGTGGATATTCAGTTTTTCTAACACCATGTATTGAAGAGATTCTTCTTCCTCCTACTGTGTGTTCTTGGCACCTTTGTTAAAGATGAGTTAATAGATTTATGTGGGTTTATTTCTAGGCTACTACGGAGTTAGAATAGTGTATCTTTACCAATGAGTTTATGCTTTCATATGTTTTCATGTCGTTAGTGTCCTTTCATTTCAGCTCACTTTTGTTTTAAGTGTGAAGAATTTCCTTTAGTATTCCCCTTTAGGCAGGTCCAGTGGTGATGAACTCCCTCAGATTATATTTG